GCGCCACGCGGGCGCCACGCGGGCGCCACGCGGGCGCCACGCGGGCGTGTTGGCGCCTGGCCTCCTGATCTCGACTGGGGAGCCCATGGAGCGTCTCTTGGAAGACAGTCCCTGCGGGGTCACACCTCGCCGCGAGTAGACGGGGGAGCGACCTGCTGACAACTGTCGAACCCCTGACAGCTGCTGAGCAGTGCTGGCAGAATCTGGTGAATCTGGTTGGGTGGGGTGAAAATTCCAACTGGTTAGGGACTCCGGATGTTGATCCACAGCCAATTGGGTCACACTCCTCCAGGAACCCCAGCTCTGGTTCCTCCGCTTCGCGGCTCCTGACAGCGGCAGAACTCCCGTCTTCGACATGGAACGCCAGGATCGCTTTGGCCCTGTCCCAACAACGGGGTGTGTCGTGGGTGCAGGTTCACAGCCAAGGATTTGCCAGGGATCATCACCTCTTTTCAAGACCTTGATGTGTACTGATGTGTACTGGCTATAAAAGGGATCTTCCCAAGCAAGTCCCTACAAGACCTTGTGACACTTGACTACCAAGAAAAAAACAACGGACACATTGGAACACAAACTGCCCAACAGCTACGTTGTTAGATGTCATGCCTAACGAGAGACCCCCATCGCTGGGCATTGACCAACTGCCCAGCCTGAACGCTGCCATGTCCAAACGAAACAAACAAACCAAGCGCTCGGCTCGCAGCCCGAGTCCCCTCCACCCACCAGCTGCGCCGACCAACCACGGCGTCAACCACGGCGTCTCGGCCACCACGCACCGCGACGCGCCGTCGAAAGCCGCGGGCTCCTGGTCTCGAAGTGAAGCCGGGCGCACTCATCCACACAGGTCCTCAGGACGTTCCAAAACGACGCCCGAAGAAAGCCGCCGCTGTGCGCACCGGTCTCGTCGGTCCGAAGAACTGGTGGAGGTTGGAACAGCAGCGACGAAGTCCAGACTGGAAAAAATGGCACCTTTTGGTGGGTGATTGGAGAAACTGCAATACACTAGACAATAACAAGATATATACCAAATAGCAATGTTTGTGGGTCAAATCCCCTGCGATCTGATGTATCTGGATGTTTCATACCTCTTTTGTATGAACTCCGGGCATCTGTTGCATGTTCACTTGGGGCAAGTGCCAAAGTCAACTTCCCGCATCCTGCATTGCAGTGGCAACAGTCAAGGGCGTGGCATCCCCAAATGTATCCACATTGCCCCAAATATACGAAGCACATGGATGCACACGATGAAGATGCCAGCCTCATTTAAGGATGGACAGTAGAGATGATTTTCAGTTGTCAGGGCTTTTTCCATTTATATCGACCCTACTGTATGAATCAACAGAAAGACACAACGCAAGGCCATTGGAGTTGCTCCGTTGAGGACCAATGGTCTTTTTGTGTCTTGTTCATATGGGACAGCAATGGACTGAGAACCTCCTTCATGCCCTCAAACATCTGTTGTGGCCCCAAAAGCGATATATCTGGACTCATACCGACTCTTTCCGGTGAACCACGGGTTGTTTCTACTGGTATTGAGAGGAATAAGGGTGCAGCAAGGTTCAGCTATGGAAGGCAAGTGCTCTCAGGATGGGTGTCAACTGAAGACTGTTTTGAAAAGCCTGGAATCCTAAACGGTTAAAAACATGTTAGAACTAACAAAGCTTACTTGTCCAACGCAGTCCGCATGAAACACACAAGTCCTGAAGGCATGTTCTTCCTTTGCAGCGCCCAGGACTCAGAGTCTCTTTCATCTTCAATACCACGAGGTATTTCCAGTAAAATCTTCATGTTCACACAGGTGGACTTTGGCAATCCAACAACACCCAACACCTAAAACCTAACACCACGACCACCGCCACCGCCGCCGCCGCCACCACCACCACCATCACCAGCAGCAACAACAACAACACCACCACCACCACGGCCACCACCACCACCACCACCAGCAGCAGCAGCAGCAGCAATAGCCAAGCACACCTTTATACGGCTTGTTTATGAGTTTTTCGAGGTGTTCCATGTACTCGATCTACTCTTCTCGGCCTAAACATACCGGAGACGTCCTTCCCCGGTAGCCCTGAGACATCGGCAAGTCGACCGCGATGCACTTTGACGACATCGACATCGGCGCCCGGGCTGAGGAGCTCCACCACAAACGACCCGATTGCCCATGACACCTACCGCCGCCACGTTGATGATTTTTAACACTATCCGTCCCGATTCCGATCGGAGTGTTTGGAGATGAATTCAAACGGCAGTGGGTCAAAACCCGGGCAAGCTGGTGGACCCCTGAACTTGAACAGATTCCTCTATAAGGGATGTCAAGCTCCCCTTGAGGCAGGAGCTGGAGATGTTTAGAGTGCGTTTGCATTAGTCCCATTCCATCTGCATTACATCTACAAAGAACTCAGACCTAGTAGATTCTTGCTACTATAGGAATGATGGCCTCCAACCTAATAGCGATGGCCTCCACCTGGTAGCTTCTGGTTACTAGCTAATTATTATCCTTCTGTGTGTCTTTTCAGGTTTCGGGCGAGCTCTTCGTCATATGGAAACAGGAGCTAAGACGGTGGAGCCTTGGCTAAGTTCTTGTCACTTCAAGACGGTCTTCCCATTCCACACGTCAGTTTTTTTCCGCTCTTCTCCCGGTTGTTCCGCACCACCTCTGCGGCATTAGCATGGGCAGCGGAAGGTGGAACACGCACAAGTGTGCGGGATAAAAGACATCAAGGCCCTTGCGTGTTGATACTTCATGTGTGACTCAAAAAGGAAGCTTCAGCATCACCGGTTCTCGGTGTTTCGGTTCATCGGCTACACTCGTGGCCTTTAGGCATCTGGTGGTGATCGGATCTCCCGTCGACGGAGTACACATGCCAAAGCTATTGAGCTTACCTCCTGTGCTCACGTCCAAAATCAGTCAGTAAGAGTCAACATGGTCCTGCAATTGCCTCCTCTTGCTTTCAAAGAAACGTCTGAGCCACAAGAAGGTCAAATCGCATTCAGTACAAGGTCTTTACATGGAGAGAGAGAGAGAGAGTGAGAGAGAGAGAGAGAGCATCAGAGCACGGCGCACCCCCATGAAGCTACGGATCTCACCCGCTGGAACGAAGAAAACATAAGATACTTCGAATTCAGTACAAGTCATGAACAGCATCCAATAGATACTGTTCAGAAATAGTTCTGAACCAACTGATCTCAACCAGAGGACTCCCGCGATCTCCACGATTCCGACTCCGTTCTTCGGCCATTTTGTTCTGCCGTTTTCACCAGAGGTCACGGAGTCTCGGCGCGAAGAAGGTCTGCAAGATGATCATGGCAGGAAGATGGAGACGGTTCACTATGGGGCTTTGGGCTTGATGCGGTTGATGGGAGACACCTTTAGAACGGCAATATATCTCAACACATCCAGCAACACTTCCAGGCTGAGAGCCTTAATTGAATCATCCTTGTCAAGCAACTCGCAAGTCTTCGATGTCAGTTGGCAGGCTTGCTAAATACGGTGGGTGGGTGTTTCAGCCTTGCTTGGACATGAAGTGGAGACATGGTGTTCTGGGATGGAATGAATGGAATGGATCAAAAAAGAGGGCACCTGGCCTGACATGTTTTCAGAAGCTTTGCTGACTGGGATTCTGTGCAAATTCCTAGGAATTTCTTTGGCTTTCAAACCCATCAAATGTTCCAACCACCAAGCCTACGAGCTCCACTCGGGAACCCCCAAGCTCGGGGCTCCTTTTGCGGGGGAACCGGGACTCTTCAGGCGCCGGGAGGGAGCTGAGTGAAGATGCCCGCAGCCCCGTTCTGCAAGGCGCAATCCTTGGGTCCAGCCGTCGCTGTGGTCAGTTTCGACTCGTCGCACGTGGGGCCACTCATGCTGTGACACTCTGTGACACATGGCCACATTAAAGAGGACTGCACGTCTGACATGATTTGGACGACCTAATTGACAACCTCAAACCACTCTTAAGACTTGGATCAGATCCGTTTCGACACAGATAGGCCAACCTAGCGTCCGGGTGATGGTCCAATATGGTCCATGGGTGACTTTTGTGACGATCCAAACCACCAAATCCTCCCACTCTGCTGATGTCCCCAAGGCTGAGCTCGTGACGAGGATTGAGGGGTTGTACTGGAGCTCTCGCTCCCAATCATCCGAGATGTCCTGCGCAAAAGGTGCTTGAAGCCCTGATTGTCCTTTGTTGTTCGCATGTCAACATCTGTCTTATTCTTTCTTCGCACCTCGCATCTCTCGTAGGCGTCGTTTGCGGTGTCCCCAACAGCCAAAGCTCCACAGCTGGGTGGTTTTTGGTTTGGAACCCAAAGGAATACCCTGGGTGTTTTGGCCTGGCCATGTGATGGGATGAAAAGAACTCCGCTCCTGCAGGTTCAACACCCCAACCGCCGAGCCGGGCTGGTCCACCACGGCACAGGGCAGGTCACAGCACCGATACCTCGCGGCCGGAAAGTGAGTGTGGGCAGGTTGTCTCCAGCAACTGGAGACGTCTTATTGCGGTACTCGAAGCTTGAACACAGAAAAACACGGTGGGATTGGACCACATGTGGGATTTGACCGGTTCATGACTAGGGTGAAGACCTCCTTTCTACGAGGACGAAGAGGATGTTTCTTGCCTGTTACACTCACTGTTACGAAGCTGAACATGTTCCTTCCTCGGTCGATCCAACAGACCATGCATCCCCCATGCTCTTCACTTGGTTTCAGAATTGGAGGATCCCACCCCATCAGTTGCTTGGGGCGTCAATGTTAGCTTGGAGGGTGGTGCCTTAAGGCATTGCATGTTCCTATTCCGAGCCAACTGTATCTTGCATTGTGCAAAAAACAGTTGCTTCAGTTCCACCCTTGCTGCATGACCACTCGTTGTCCCAAATGCCACGATGTATGTTGTGCAAGCGATGAGGCGATGTAGGATCGGATCCCCTTCAGTCCCCCACACCTGTTTGTGTTGCCCATGTGTTTCACCTCCGGACCTTCGCGGGTGGTTCTTCCATTCTTTTGGACTGGACTTGCTCAAGAAGGGTCACTTGGGATGTGTTACACATCCTCAAGATTGTGTTGTAGGGTTTGTCTATGCTCTTCTCTCGAATTCTTCTGGCGGGCTCCCCCTTCGATGACATTTCACCAGCCGTTTTCGAGAACCCAAACAACTCATGTCCTTGCCTGGGGCCGTAGCTGATGCCTCCCACCTCACAGCCAAGTTGCGGATCACGGGCACATCGGGCACCCCAAACAAGGGTGGGGTCACGATGAGTCACTCTGCGACCGAAAACAGTGCCGGAGTATGCACACAGCATGAGATATCTCCTCATCTCGCGGAGATGTAAAGAAATGAAGGCCGTGGATCAAAAGCTCGGAGCCCCGTGGAATATCTTGGCAGATAAGACCTCGCCAGTTCTATTCGGTTCATGTTCTGTGGGACCCTAAACCAGGGTCTCCAGGCGCCATGGACATCCATGGCCCCCATGGTGCAGACCTCTTTGATCCAGCAACGCAGGCCTCCGGGGGCCTGAGAATCCAGGGCGAGGCCACTCTCTGAGATCCAGGCTCTGAAGTTCACGTAGAGGTATGGTTTCGGTCCAGTCCTAGGAACCCCCGGCCCCACCGAATCTCCACCCGGGGGGAAACTGCCTGGTTTAGAGCAGAATTCGAGGGAAGCTCTGCTAAGAAACCACACCACGGTCACCACGCCTTCTGATCTGATTTGATTTGTTTTTTCATGTGGGCGTCCCTTACTTCTTCGCTTCATGATGATGGGCTTGTAAAGCATCTCAGTGCTCTGCTCCACCAATCACATCTTTGAATCACATCACTGAGCTGCGCACTTCAGTTTGTTCTGCAGGCCCAAGCCCTGCATGCGCAGCATGGCATTCGGTAGCATTGCGCAGCATGGGAGGCACACAGTTGCGCTCATCCGGAAACTGACACTCTAAACACAGTTGGCGCTTGTCATCCCTGACTCAATTGGGCCCAATGCCCAGGTACGTAGCACGAGAATCTATCCAACCGACCGTTTTTGGCCCGCATTCGGTCAAGCTTCGCCTGGATGTCTGCGGGTGCGGGTGTTGGCGCATCCTTGCCGTCCACGTTGGCACCTGAGTGGTGGCATCGCCAGGACAAGGCCCCCCCTTGTGGGCCCAAAAGCTTGGCACTTCCCGGCCAAAGAATGGATGATGAGTGAAAGCTGTGGATGGGGGATAGATTGGATGATAGATGGATGATGACGATGATGACGATGACGATGACGATGATGACGACGATGACGATGATGACGATGATGACGATGATGACGATGATGACGATGATGACGACGACGAGGATGATGACGATCATGATGATGATCATGATCATGATGGGTAAAAGGTACCCCAATAATGCTGAACGGGAGCAGGGGCTCGATTCCTCCATAGGCCAGATTCTCTTCAAACGACCATCTGGGCTCTCTCCAAACCACAAGACACATCAAGACACTCTTAACTACCAAACCGTAGAAAGAGAGTGTCTTCCAAACCGTAAAGAAGAAATACCACCTCAAGCACAGCTGTCTTCGCCCCTTTAGACCCCATTGGCCGCCCAACCCGGAGGGTAACAGCCGGTGACATCGGGTTCCCCTGGCCATGGGATTTCAGGAACTCCAAGTACACGGGCGGATTCATGGTGATGACCTTCTGCATGGCCGCCTGAGAACGGCAGCTGAGAGTCGGTCCACTACAATGGTCAATACAGGAAATGGTATTGAAAAGGAAGAGAGGGATTTGATTGGATTGATTAGATACGATGACAGTTCATTTGATTAGATTGATTTGTACTATCAATCATAGGACTTGATTGATTTGGTTGATTGGATATGATTGGATGACCTTGTTGCAAAAGAGAGTTTGTGGAAACCGTTGCATCTTTGCATCGCGCACCTACGTTTGCAAAGCAAGCCGGGAAGGCTACCTACTTGTGAGAGTGACTATCTTTTCAATCCCTGTAGTTCCCTCAATATCCCATTGCAAGAAAAAGAGAGAAGCCAACGGCGACATGGCTCGGGATCTGTTGGAGTCTGAGTTCGATTCTCTCTACTTTGTTCCGCTTTGGATTCTTTCCTGAGGGGGCCCTAGCAGCACATGGACTGCATATGAGCACTCTGGTAAGTCGTGGTCAAAAAGCAGGAATCAAAGTACAAGTCAAGGGCAGCTGTGTCAACTACTCACTTCATTTCGCTCTTCTCATTCGGATGTGGGTGGGTGTCGTGCTGTCCCAGTTCAAGCGAGCTGGAACTGCAAGGAAACTGCACCTGCAGTAAAAAATTGGGTCTCCACACATCAACATCGCTCTGAGTCAATGCCGGCCAATAGCCATTCAAGTTTTGGTTGGCATCATCAAAGCCATCCCCATCCTGGAAAGGCTCAGATGCACCAGGCCATTGGTTTTGGTCTGTTTCTTTGAGGAGACGTTCTCCCGTGGGAGTCGACGGGCATGACGGCGTGACATCCCCAAAATGCGGTCCATGCTGAAGATGCCACCCTCATTTAAGGATGGGCAGTTGAGATGATGGACCATACTATAGACTAATACTATAGACTATGGCCCATGGCTGTTTTCCCTACGGTATGAAGTAAAAGAAAGACACACCTGCAGGCCCCGTGATATGTTGGATCTTGAACCATTACCGGTACACTCCTCCGCCACAGGCCGGAGCCTGTCCTTCTTCTCTAAATTGCGCGCCAAGTCCTGCAGCAACAACCTCAGTCCGCAAACGTGAGCCGATGTGAGCGACCAAGGCGACGAAGTCATTGGGAGATCGGTCGTGACCCACACCGAAGAAAAGGGCCTTCACTATGTGGAAGCATTGGCTCAATGCTGTTTCCTGTGGATGTGTTGGATGTGTTGGTCTTTTCCCTCTTGTTTTTTCTATTTTTGTTTGATGTCTTGTGACAGTCTTCGGGGTGACGCGGATGGGATATATGCGTTTCGGTGACGGTTGGGGGTCACCAGTTCGTGGGTATCCGGCATGGAAGATCGCCGTGTTGCCCTCCTCGTCTTCTCGAACTCTTTGCGCCTTTGCCCTCATTGAGTGGCAAAATCCCTGCCTATTGCATTTGGGCGTCTTCAGCAGCCAACGGGTTCCGGGTATGAGTCTCGTTGTGGGGGGGGCACGTTTCATGCACACCTGTCCAGGTTTCATGGTGATCCTAACGTAGACTTCCTGACGAATCAAACCAATCCAAACAAGAGGTTTATGAAAGAAGAGTCTACATTAAGATCTGGATGCACTAAGACCGTGGCAAGGCCTCCCGTCGGTTGGGCGCCTGGACCGGCGAGCAGGCCTAGCGGGCCTACTAGCGGGCCTAGCGGCCAGCTTAGCGTCCATTATAAATAGTCTGAGAAAAGGCACCAACAATATGCGACATGGCTCCAAACTGGGTGTCCAAGAAACAGTTGGTCTTGTTTCAACAACACGTTCTTCTGGTTTTCTGACTCGAGTTATTTGGAGTCACTGCCATATGATCACCGGAGTCGGCAGTGGGCAGTGTGCCTGTCACATCCTGATGCACCGAACACTCACTGCCTTCCCGTGCCTTGTCGATCTTCCCTTTCGCGACATACAGCTCTGTAAGGGTCCTCTTGAGGGCCTTGGAAGCCAAGCAGCTGCGAATGTTCATGCCGCGGGAGGAACACCGGATTCGGAGATAAAGCAGCGGGACCAAAATGGGCCAAAGAGCTTCCGACGCCCGGCGGGACATGACCGACGGACATGTCACTTGGTGCTTCACGACCCGGAACGCCGATGACACACCCCACCTTTTTCGACCCAGCTCCCTGATCAATGTTAAATCGACGTGCCCTACACACATCATGGATGGATGTTCATTAGTTCTCAAGCCAGCCTTCTGACTAGGGCATCGGCCACTTTATCACTTACAACGGAGGGAATCGAATAGGAATTATGGATTTGACACTGTGGACTGTGGCTTAGGTTCCGAACCAGGGAAGCATGTGGGAGGGCGGTTTGGTTGAGCCAAACCAAACCGAGTCCTCCGGTGGTCCTGAAATTCGTCAGCAAGGTGCCTTCTCCTCCAAGGCAAAGCCCAAGTGCTGGGCCATTTTCAGCGCGGCCTGGCGCTAGATACGCCGAACTCGGTCCCAGGTTGTCAGAACTGAATCCGTGTGCGGTCCAAGGCCCCCCCTTCCGCTCAAAATTGAGGTTTGTTGACATCTCGTTCACAGCCCATGTGTTTATGTCTATTGATATTCCATTATATTCCCTTTGACTCCAACAAAACGAGGCTTTGATGTTTCCTGTTCAGTGCGGCAGTGCGGCAGCCCAACTCAACTGGAGCATGTCAACGGTACGCGGTCGAAGCCGGCAACACGCTACGCGCGCCTGTGCCGTGTTCAAGGCGTAGTCGGCATAGGGAGACCTGGGACGCATAGGCGGCAAGGCCTGGTGATACTTCATGGGATCAAAGGATCCGATTGCTGGCTTGGGGCGAACAGGGAAGTTGGCAACAAAACAGCTCAAACATCGTCCAATCATGTCTAATCAGACTGGAGACAGACTGTGTTTTGGAAGCCTAGCCTGGAATTCTGATATTCCCTGATGGCACCAATGATCCACCGCTTTGTAGGCTAAGACGTACTTCAGAACAAAACAAGCCGCCTAAACAAGCAAGACCAGCTGGACATGTCCGGAGAAATGATCCGATGCGTTGCTTCTATGTCTCTCTCCATGAAACGGTGGTGCTCAACACACCTGTTGTGACTCTTCGGTTCATCCAGGCCCTGTTGTGCGGGATTCCCCGACCAAAGCTGCGCGCTTGGTAGGAGTTTAGTGCGGCCAAAAACCCTTCAAATCATCCATGCAAGGAGTGGCAAATCAGTGGAGCTCCGCTCCAAAATCGAGACCATGTGGACATCTACTCTGGGCCTTCGCGCATGGTCGCAAGCTTGTGCAACATCTGCACCTGACTTGGGTGTCTTTTGGTGTACTTTTAGCACGAACTCTGTCAAAAGGAGCATGAATCAATATTTTGTTTTGTGGGGAGTCAGTGAAGCAAACCAAAAGAACCATATTGGCCTTTATGTTGGGTTCCAGTTTGTTGCAGTTCATTTCACTGCCTGTGGAAAAAAACAGTCTGGTGACATAAACCCAACCAAAAAATAGAGCACTTGGATGCGGCTTGCATGCAAACAACTGCTTTCAGGAGCTGCGCAAACCACCTGGGGAGCTCTTGCCCGGAGCTTACCAAACCAAAGCAGAACCAACAACTCCGAAGAAAAAGGAACAACGTCGGAAGATGGGACATTGGAACAATGGATGGCCAAGCCTTCAAGTCGCAGCACCCTGACCACAGGCCCGACCACCGGCCCAAGCTGGGGTGTTCCGCTTGCCCACCCTCGCTACAAACACCTGACCACAGCGTGAGATGCTCACGAGCGGTGCCCCGAAACTTGCTGGCGCCTCGCCGCGTTTGTTACCATCCGCCCTCAGCTTCTCAACCTCAGCTGCTGAAAGAATGATCCTCAAAAACCCTCAAAGGGACGAAGCGATTGATCATCAAAGAAAAAAATCGATGAAGCACTCCTGGCTCCTCCAGTACATCATTTGGTGGCAATTGTGGGTTGCTAAATGCCATCTGGTATTAATTGGTACAATTGCAAGTCCAATGACTCACAAAGCTACACTGTTGGACCTGAATCCAAGTGAACCAGTTTTGCCTTTTTGCTAAAGCATTCACCCAACGCCAGGCTGTCGCCAAATCTTTTTCCATGAGGTCCAGCAAGCGCGTGCGAAAAACCGCTTCAGGATGTCCCTCACACCCTGGCAAAAGAGCCAGGAGTGCAGGGTTCTGCGACCCCCAGCATCGTTCAACCCCAATGAAGCAAGGGAGAGTCAATCTCAAAATGCGGACGCTTCTCAGGCTTGTCCTTTATTCACAATCTTGATATCCCGCCTAAGTTGAAGATCGGAAAATGTCGTTTTGTTCTGGATGGTTGGGCTGGAATCACATGGATGCATAATGCGTCACATGTATCCACAAGCTACCTGGTAGCTACCTGGTAGCTACCTGTTACGTGCAACTTGGTGCCATGTCGGTGTAGGACTGGATGAAACATGTCGGACGGCCGCTACTCACCGCCACACACGGAGCCGGTGGACTGGATCGGTGTCCCAACGGCTGGACCCGGCTTCCCAAGCTTGCTCCCATTGGCCGCCATTGAAACCAAGAACTCCAAAGAAACGTGAGAAACCATGAGAATCCTGCAAAAAGACTCTAAAACAAAACACTTGGATATCAAGAACGATTTACTTGGATATCAACCATGACCTGTTCTGTGACTTCTTGCTCTCCGCCCTTTAAACCCAAGGACCTCCAAGAGTCCGTCCGGTCCTGTTCTGCACCATGGAAAGGCCCAGCTTCTCCCCATCGATGCTGCTCACCCACACCTGCACCTGAAAGAGCAGAAGGAACACGTTCGGCGTCTTCTTGTTCGGCGTTTTGGGGCCACACGTTTTTCAATGGTGAGAACACGGTCGACTCCTTTGGTCAGGCCTCCGTACGAATGCGGTCCGTATCGGTGTTCCGAAGGGTCGGTGACGGTGGGTTCATGGTGACTGTGTTCTTCAACAGTGACATGGCTTTTGTATGCTGTCATCACAAGTTTCGTTCCTTGCTACAGCCTGAAGGATATTCAACCAACATCTGAAGGAAACGGGAAAGAACCGCAAAAAAGACAGTGGCCAGTTAGATACTTCGACCTCAAAAAATAAAGGAAGAGAAAAAAGAAGACCCCCGTGTTCGCACCGTCCGGACGGCGCCGTCTCTCCGATGGCCACCGCGCCTTCTGGCCCTCGGAGGCGAACTCGTTCGGGTCGCTCACCTCGGTTTCTCGAGCGGCCCGAGCGGCCAGGAAAAGCGTCCCGCTGAAGTAAGCCTGGTCAGTTCCGGAGGCCACCAAAGAAGGCTCCTTTTGGTGTGTGAGAAGGCCGTTTTCATGTTTTTGTCGGCCAAACTGGAGTCCCTGCGAAGCGGCCCTGTTGCGAGAAGCCCTGGACCCTTCGATCTCCGATCCAACGGTCCGCCGGTTCGGCCCGCTCAGGCGCGGGCAAAACCGTCAGACATCCTGGGAGGAGAAAGCCGGCGGAGCTGCTCCAGCATGTGAGAAGGCCAGGAAAGGCTTTAGGAAGAGTGGTTGAGAACTGGTGCACCATGCATGCAGTTTAGGGAGGAAGATGGTGAAAGGCAGTGTGGCATTTCAACCCCCAAACATACTACGCCATGCTACACGCTGCGATTGGGCTCAACGGTCTATGGACAGTCCAAGACCGTCCGGTCTTGCAGGTGCGTGGCAAATCGTTGCTGGAGCCAATCGTATTAGATAAATATATATATATACTATCAAACATCAGACCTACAGGACCATAGATCGGACCCACCGTTGCTGCTCGCAATGGCTCAGTGGGGGCAAAACTCACCACCCAGCTGGGGGGCAGAACATCAAGTCCGGGCTCCTTTGAGAGGGGATCTCGGCATTTTTTGCTCGGATCGGCCAAGAAAAGGGGGGACAATTCACCAATGTCGCAAAAAAAAAGACATGCCAGATGATGAATGTATCTATTTAATTGCTGTCACCCGGACCGTGCCCTTCAGTCAAGCATCCTTGAGATGTGCACGAGCCCCGATTTTTCTGCGCCCACGTCCACGAAACAGCCGAACTCCCTCGCAGGGCATTGTTCAGAGAAGCAACAGACTGCAGTTGAATTGTCAACGGTCGCGAGCACCACCGATCAACACCCAGCGTTGACCACCACCGTAAGACCCCCTACTGTGAGCACACTGTTTGGGAAAAAAACACATGCTTATTGACTTGAATGGGCGGAGTAATGTGTTCCAGCTAGAAACTAGCCCTGATGTGGCCATTCATCCAAACAAAGATGTTGACAACAATTGATGTCATGATACATGCAATGCTTCTTGCTGCTCAACGCTGCATATGCTACGTGTGCTGCCACACTCAGCAGTTCAATTGCTGAGGGAGCGCTCAGCTGGGTCGATATGTCTTCATTTGTGGGTCTGAAGGCCCTCCAAGAAGCAAGGCAAACAGTTGATAAACAGTTGATGTCCTAAGCAACAGCGGCTACTTGGAAATTCTGAAACCAAGCCAAGTGACTCCAACAAACGACTTGCACCTCCCTGATACCAATGTGCTGGGACACAGTTCAATGAAAGTTCATGAAAAGCCGAATCTTCCGGAAGATCCTTTGCATGACTCCACCCAGGGTGCAAATCTGACTGCTTGGTTCTGGATACATGATCTCTTGACGTTGCGTGGGGTAGAGGACCAAACTCTTTGCCAGGCAACTGGTAACAGGTCCTGAGGTGCCGGGCCTTGTTTGTTCAATCTTCCCAACACACATTGCAGGTCTTCCCGTTCAACGAATCTGAAGCTAATGTCTCTGTGTACACATGGGACCTCCAGAAAATTGGCTTGGAACAGGGTCATGTTCCTTTGCCTCGTTCGATCACAGTTGTCTTTTGTAGGCCCAAGTGTGCATAAAGGTTGTAAAGGTGGACTTCCCCTCCCGGTACCTTGCCTAACACTTTCGATAGTTCCTTCTAGCTCATCTCCGACCTGCGCAACTGCTAACATGTCGGAGTTCTCAACCGAGAAAAAACGGTGGGTAAACGTCACGCAGTCCAACGAAGTGTCAAGAGAAACATCTCAATGTTCGAAATAAACCCAATTTGACAATTTTGTTTGGACGTTGAAGTAGAGCCCCAAAGCAGGGCCAGGTCTTAGACAAAAAAAAATGCACATGTCTTCTGAACAACAAAAAAACATGCACATGTGATCGGCACGGGGGCTGATCTCACCCAATTCGATCAATCATCATCCAATCCAATATTGGAAAATGAGTCGATGAGTCGATCAAACCCAATCCCAATGCGAGTCGACATGTCAGTCAATTTCAACATACATCCTGGAAAGCCAGCGTGCTGGAACAAAATTCCTGGATTCTAACATCTTTTCGCAATCACCGAGCAGTTATCTAGTTAGCGTTCTCCCTGGGAAGGTTCCGCCCAACATGTGCCAGTACTGGCGGCCAAAAACTGGAGTTGGGTACCTACCAAGGCATATCCTGAGCTGTTCATATATTGAGCGGCACTCCCGGAACATTTTCCAACCCTTTGGCCTTGGGAGCTCCATCCTCACCCACGAAACACATCAGCGAGACCCACCTCAACCACTTGAACCACCCCCCCCCCAAAAAGAAACACCCTCCTCCCGTTCTCGAACCGACTTGGCGATCAATGTCTGGCCCCACCCGACCTGCATATCTGCAAGAGGATGTGTGACCTTCGGCTTTTCGGGGAACAAATCCCCCGGTGAACAGGCGAAATGTGATGGACCTCCGGGCATCTCCAAAGGAAAAAATGTTTAGAATTGGAGAACATTCCGCGTTCACAAGACGCTGCCCCTGCCAGGAAATCTGCACTTCGAGGTCACAAAGCGCTGCACCTGCCACATCCTGCCACGTACGCTCCGACATCTGCACCTCAAGGTTCACAAAGTACTGCGCCTGCATCCGCCACCCGTCTGCCACAAAATCTGCACTTCAAGATCCACAAAGGGCTGCCGCGCTGGCCACGAAGTCTGCGCAATCTGCACGTGCACAGCCCTGCCAAAGCGCTTCGCAGCAAGAGCGCTTCCAAAGGACAACGCGCAACACCAAGATGCCAAAGCGCAGCTTTCGCTCAACACTTCCCCAGATTTCTGAAAAGGAGCCACATGTCCAAAAGTCACGAATCACTGCGCCTGCCACGAAATCAGAGCGCGCCGAAGACCACCACCATGTCCAAAGTACTGCTGCGTCTGCCACGCTCCAATCTCTTGCGCCTGCCACGATGACACTTCGAAGATCTCGAGATGAATGAATGCACCGTAAATAGCAGCGGACACAGATGCGAGCACCACCGGTTGCGAGCACCACCGGTCAAACACCCGGCCTTAACATGCCTTAACATGCCTTAACTATTGCCGTAAGAACCCAGTAAGAACCCAGTAAGAACCCAGTGTGACCACATATGACCACATATGACCACACTGTTTGGAGAAGAAAATGCAGATTTAAGAAAGGCAAGTGCTGGCGGAATGCCGTTGACAAAGAAATACACATGCAACCACGTCCATGGCTCGTCCCATGTCCTGCCTCCCTTGCTCTGGCTGCCCAAAAAACAACCAGCCAGCGATAGGATTCTTGAACAGGAAGCTGTTTGTTGCATTGAATCCAAGAGTTATAAACGATCGCCAATCATCAAGGTTGCTGCGTGCCAAAGGTTGGCCATAAATGCCTCATGAGTTGTGTTTGAGGTGACTGGATTCCAAGATCCCTTGGACACTCCGGGTCCACGGGTGGGTGTGGCTCGGCCTCACGACTTCTTCTTCGAGAAAAGTCCTTTTTTGCCTTCCTGGGGCGACGAGGCGAAGCACGTCGAA